GACAGTGGAGGAGCCTCTTAGTTCAGTTTGGGAACTCTGCACACTTATTCCATTTCATGATGGATTCATTTATTGTTAACACAGTTTTTTAATCTGGCAGACATTTGTGTCAGGCCTTGTTGAATGGGTGCATTCCCTGTTCTCCTGAGCAACAGCCACATAGTCTTCTTTCTATCTTTGTTTCCATCCCTCCATTTCGACTGGGGAGCCAGAGTGATCCTAAAATAACCAGTAACCATGATGAGTTCAGTAAATGAGGAGGACGACAGTAAAGATTAACTGGGCACTCTGGCTGACTGTATATTTTAAAATTTAATGTTCATAAATGGGCATTATGAAAACAAATGTGAGTACAACTCATGATATACCTAATATTCAGTAATGAAATAATGTTATCATATCCCTTGACCTAACAGTTCCACTTAGGACTTATCCTGAGGAAATAAGCTGTATACAAAGATCTAGATACACAAGAGGCTGATTAGAGTACTATTTATGATAACAAAAAATTCGAAACAACCTAAACATCCAGATATTGGGGATCGACTAAATAATAGTAGGCTGGTTTTGGAGGTGATAAATATGTTCATTCTATTTATTATAGTGTTGGCTGCATGGCTGTATTCATAATGTCAAAACTTACTAAGTTGTATGCCTTAAATATATACAGTATGCATTTATACTTCATTAAAGCTGTTAAACAGGGTCGGTCCTGTGGCTCACTCTGGAGAGTGCGGCACTGTTAGCACCAAGGCTGCGGGTTCGGATCCTATATAGGGATGGCCGGTGCGCTCATTGGCTGAGCGTGGTGCAGACGACACCGAGCCAAGGGTTGTGATCCCCTTACCGGTCAAAAAAAAAAAAAAGCTGTTAAACAAGAATAACAGCAGACCCATGTCCAGTCATACTAGGCACTCTATAAAAGATTTATGTAGAAGGATGTTCAAATATATATATATATATATATGTGTGTATATATATATATATATATATTTTTTTTTTTTTGCAGCTGGCCAGTACAGGCATCAAACCCTGGACCTTGGTGTTATCAGTACCATGCTCTAACCAACTGAGTAACTGGCCATCCTGGATGTTGAAATATTTTAAGGGAAAATAATCATATAGCCTTATTTTTAAAATAAAACTACATGTATATTTTATGCATGTTGTAAAGACTGGATGTACATTTGGATAATGTTAAAATTCGTGTCATGTACCATATATAAAGTTTAAGATCAGAAACTAAAGACCTAAACTTAAAAAACAAAATGATGAAAGTATTGGATACTGTTTTTGTAATCTTAGGTAGGGAAAAACTTCCTAAGCATGACTAGAAACTCCACAGTTACAGGAAGTTATAGGGAAAAAGCATTTTTCACACTATAGAAATTTAAACCTTCTCTTATGAGGAATAGACAACACAAAGTTAAAAGGACATGTGCAGTCTAGGAGTGAATAGGTGCAATGTCTATAATGGACTAAGTACTAATGACCCTCATTTATGAAGAGTGTGCATGAATCAGTAATGAAAAGAAAACCCAATGGAAAGATAGGCAAAGAATATGAAATGTAATGACTAGAAAACTTAAAAGAATATGCTCAGCTTTGTTAGAAATTAGTGTCACCTCTTCCCCAGGTTGATAGAGATGGAGATGCAAAGGATTACCCAAAGCCCGTTTTTCCTGAGCAGTGAGAGGCCCAAAGGGGTTAAATCCCAGCAGGCGACTTCTTCAAGAGAGAAGGAATTCCTGGGAAATAACCCTGAACTAGGTTTTCTCTCAGTTTTTATTGTCCAGCCAAGAAAGTTACAGAAAAGAACACAGGTGGTTAATCGGTCATAGTGATAACATAAACAAACTGGCTACATAACAATTTCCATTAAAGCAGGTGCAACTTAAAAATAGTTTAAGCAATTTACCATCAAAGGAGTCATAAAACTAAGCTATGCGACATACAAAAGAACCAATGAGATAATCATTATGGCAACACTTAGTTCCCTAGGAAACTTAGAGAAGCAGTTGAAGGTGAAATGTGGAACCAACCACTAATTGGCAGAGTAGCCTTGAAGCTTTTAACACACATATTCTTTCATAATTAGGTTTAGCTGTACCAAGGGCATCTGCTCTTAGAGCAAGCACTTTTGCTGTGTTACAGTTTTCATACCCACACCAGACTTTTTAGTCCTGTGAAAGTTTTCTGTTTTTTCCCAAGCTAAGCATTTCTATGTGCAATACTAAAAGGTTATGTTATTCCTCAAACTACAAGGCTTTGGCCTTGCTACAACTAAGGACTGTGGTCCTACTATGCTACAGCCTAAACTAAAGGGCTTTGGCCCTTCTAACAGCTAAGGACTGTTGTCCTACTAAGATAAAGATCCTACTAAGCTACAGCCTGATCTAAGGACTGTGGTCCTTCCAATCTAAGGGCTGTGGTCTTACTAGGCTAAAGGTTAAGGCCCTGTAAAATACATGTGCTTTATTAATGTTAGTACCCTCCACAATTAGGGACATGAAAGTTAAATAATGAGGAATAATTTTGCACTTGTCAATTTGGCAAATGTTAGAAAGACAGATAATACCCATGTTAGGGAGGGTATAGAGAAAAAGGCATTTGTGTAGTTTTGCAGTAGGTGTGTAAATTGGAGGGCGGTTTGGAAAGTGGTGCTTTGCCCTACAGAAATATTTTACTGATGCAGAAAAACATGATTAGGATATTCACAAGGAATTGTTTGTCATAGGGAAAATGGGATATATAACTGTCCATCAGGATTAATTAAATAAGTGGTAGTTCGGCTATTCTGTGGAATGTTATACAGTTGTGACAGTGAGACAGATTTATTTGTATTGGTGCCAGCACAAAAAAGAAAATGGATATATTGTATAAAGAAAGCAAGTTGCAGAATAGTATAATACTGTTATATTATGTAAAGGAAATCTTTATCCATTTGTAAATCTGTAGGAAAGATCTGGAAGTAGCTACATCAAACAACCCAATAAAAAATGCTTTAAAACTATTCTGTATGAAACTACAATGCTGTATACATGTCATTATACATTTGTCAAAACCCATAGAATGTACAACACCAAGAGTGAACCCTAATGTAAGTTAGGAACTTCGGGTGATAATGTGTTGATGTAGGTTCATTGACTGTAACTAATGTACCAACCTGGTGCAGGATATTAATAGTTGGCGAGGCTGTGCTTGTGTAGGGTAAGGGAATATATGGGAATTCTCTCTACCTTCTGCTTAATTTTGCTGTGAACCTAAAACTACTCTAAAAAATAAAGTCTACTTTTAAATAATGGGCAAAATATTTGAACAGACACTTCAACAGAGAAGAAATATGGATGTCAAATAAGCACATGGAAAGATGCTCAAATTATCAGTCACTAGGGAAATACAAATTAAAATACCACTACACACCTATTAGAATTACTTTAAAAAGAAAAAGCCAAACAAACTGGCAATACCAAGTGCTGTCAAGGGTATGGAGCATCTGGAACTCTCATATATTGCTACTGGGAATGCATAATGATACAGCTGCTTTAGAAAAGTCTGGCAGGCATTTTCTGAACAAAGTAAACATAGACTAACCACACGACCCAGCAATTCTACTCTTAAAGTTGTCTACCCAAGAAAAATGAAAGCATGTCCACAAAAAGACTTGTACGTAGATGTCCATATCAGCAATATTTATAATGGCCCCAAACTAGAACCAATCCAAAAGTTCATCAGCTGGTAAATGGATAAATTATAGGGTGTTCACATAATGCAATATTATTCAGCAGTATGAAAAGAAGAAACTTCTTATACACACAAGAACATGGATGAATCTTAAGAGCATCATGCTAAATGAAAATAGCCAGACTGAAAAGATTCAATACCATATGATTCCACTTATATGATATAGAAAAAGGCAAAACCATAAATCAGTGCAGAGGGGAGGTTGAGACTGCAGAGGAGCCTGAGATAACATTCTGGGTTAATGGAAATGTTCTCTATCTTAGTTATTGTGGGGGTTACACAATTGTGTTCATCTGCCAAAAGTCATTGAACTGTACACTTGAGTGAATTTCATTGTATGCAACTATACCTAAATTGGTTTGGGGAAAAAAAGCCAGGAAGATACTGGTATCTAAGACTAAGTTAGGTCAGGAAGACAAGAGTCGAAGAAATTTTGTTTTTCTGCTCTTTGGTTAGTGCTTTTCCTCTCATTATGGATTTTTACCAAAAATTCCCACAATTCCATCTTCCAGTTGGAAGTTCATAAGCAAATGTGTAGTTAGTGTCATTCCCCTTTGAGTCAGATTGAGTTTGAAAGCTAAGGGCAGAAGTTAATGGTCTAAAATTGACTCTAAGAAAAAGTGGCCAGAAGCAGAAGCAGATGAGACTTTCTTGTCAGTGGTACCTACTTTTCTGCCAGTCACAGTGGTTTGGATGAATACTCATTTAGCACACCCCTACGTGTAAACATGTAACTAGCCAGTGTGGACGTTGGGGAGGTGATGAGGGTTGTGCACTGTGGGCTTTTTAGGCGGGAGATTAGTTTGTTGTGTGGGACTGTACAGGGTGTTTGATAGTCCTGGCCCCTGAGCACCAGATGCCCACAGCACTTCCAGTCATTGTGGCAACTGAAACCACCCCTGCACATCTTCAGATTCTCCAGGATTTGTTGGGGGTGGTGTAACTGGCTGGGGAGATAATGCAGTTACATGGGTTTGGGTCAAGAATGCAGGACTTGGAGTCAGAAAATTTGTATTCAAATTTTGTTTCTGTCTGTTCCTGGCTTTGCCGTGTTGAATATAACTGAAACCCTCTGAGTCTGAGTTTCCCTCTCTGGATGCTTGGACTAGTTGCTCTCTTGCTGTAATAGTTTTTGACTCTGCAGTTAAGTGTAGGACAGTGTCAAGACTTCTGTATTCACTGACCAGGAATCTGATGTATTTGGTACTCTTCCAGAAAAACAAATGCTTATGTGGCTCAACTTCGGTGTGTTGCAGGTTCAGCTTGTTGGTTTAGATGAGGAGAGCTCGGAGTTTATTTGCCGAAACACTTTTGACCATCCGTATCCTACCACAAAGCTCATGTGGATCCCTGACACAAAAGGCGTCTATCCAGACCTACTGGCGACAAGTGGTGACTATCTCCGTGTGTGGAGGGTAAGCAGATGCTTGATTAGCAGCCAGACAAATGGGCTTTCTCAGTGTCAGCTGTTAGCAGTGTGGAGTCACAGAGAACAGATGGGTTGGAGGCAGTGAGTGTCACTGTAGCAGGGGAGAAGCAAGTGGAACTTATCTGGACTGACCTTGTTTAGCTCAGCAGATTTTCTAGTAAATCTAGCCAAGATTCTATGAAGTCTTGCTGCTGGCTACAATCAGCCCTGGAAACCTGAGGCTCAGTTAACCTGATGTGAATGTGAAGATGACAGCCTTCAGTGGAGGTGGGGATACTTGGGACCTCTTATTCTGTTTACAGCCAAGATATTTTTGAGTAAATTAAACAAAATAGCAGGCCATTGGTTCTAGCAAAGTATGCAAGCGGTTCTTGGAGCCTTTCCTCCCTCCCCACTGAGCTCAGCAGCAGAATCCCCCATAGCCTGGGAGTAAAATGCCCAGCTACACAAGGTGCAGACATTCTGGGTTGGGTGAGGTGAGAAGACCTCTTCACTAGAAAGATGCAGTGCTGAGAGTTAAGAAAGCAAAGCTCAGGGTCGGCCCGTGGCTCACTTGGGAGAGTGTGGTGCTGAGAACACCAAGGCCACAGGTTCGGATCCTAAGTTAAGAAAGCAAAGCTCAGGGTTGGCCCGTGGCTCACTTGGGAGAGTGTGGTGCTGAGAACACCAAGGCCACAGGTTCGGATCCTATATAGGGATGGCTGGTCAGCTCACTTGGGAGAACGTATATAGGGATGGCCGGTCAGCTCACTTGGGAGAACGTGGTGCTGACAACACCAAGTCAAGGGTTAAGATCCCCTCACCAGTCATCTTTAAAAAAAAAAAAAAAAAAGCAAAGCTCAGCAGAGGAAAAAGTTTAGACAGAAGTAGAATTCACGGAGTTCCTCTGGGTTTTATTTCCCTTAATGATAAAAATGTTTTTCCTTCATGTCTTATATTTACTAAGATATTGTCTAAACAGGGCTTTTAAGACTTTGTGAGGATAACAATGGCTGATTTTTAAAAATTATTGTTCCTTCAGGTTGGTGAAACAGAGACCAGGCTGGAGTGTTTGCTAAACAATAACAAGAACTCTGATTTCTGTGCTCCCCTGACTTCCTTTGATTGGAATGAGGTGGATCCTTATCTTTTAGGTAAGGGAGTTAGGGAGTGTGTATTCCACTTGGAAGGAGCAAAGCTACATTTTCTCACATGTAATATGGGGCCAGTTTTTCACCAGGAGCCTGGGGTATGTGCATCATCCTAGAACAGGGCCAAGTGGGAGATAGACTAAATATGGAATGTGGTTATTAATTCCTCATATGGAGCTGGGCTTTCCGTGTCTGTGTATTTTGTCTCTCCAGTTAAAATATAAGGTCCTCTGGTGAGGATTGAATACATCCTATTCCTCTTTCTTGGTACCCTTCCTATGCTCAAGAAGTTTTTGTGGTGTATTGTCCCCTGGGCTGAGCAGTCAGGCAGGCACAGGAGGGAAGCTTACATGCAGCATCACTCCCATCAGCCCCTGACTTAAGCTGGTTGTTTGCAGGTACCTCAAGCATTGACACAACTTGTACCATTTGGGGGCTGGAGACAGGGCAGGTATTGGGACGAGTGAATCTTGTGTCTGGCCATGTGAAGACCCAGCTGATCGCCCATGACAAAGAGGTAAAGATGCTTTTCCTATTCTTCTTTCCTCAGATGCTTTCTGTGCCTTCAGTGTGAACAGTTCTCTTACTGTTTTGCAAATTACATATAAAATCAGTGTAATGCCAACATCTTCTTGTCTACATTGAAAATAATAATGTGTCAAAATAGCAGAGAACACTGTAAAGGAATGCATTTTTTTTTTTTTTTTTAAAGATGACCGGTAAGGGGATCTTAACCCTTGACTTGGTGTTGTCAGCACCACACTCAGCCAGTGAGCGAACCGGCCATCCCTATGTGGGATCCGAACCCGGGGCCTTGTTGTTATCAGCACCGCACTCTCCCGAGTGAGCCACGGGCCGGCCCAGGAATGCATTTTTTGACTGATATAAACGACTTATCCTACAGTTTATCAATTTTCTTTTCATGCCAGAGGTTGCTGTTTTTTAATAATGAAGGCTTTTATAGACTAACTGGGAACTGATGTGATAAAAAAAAAATAGCCTTAGAGTAACACTCATCTCCAAACATTAGCTTTTTGGGGGTGAAGGGAAACAGGAAGAGGGAAAAATTCCTGACAGACAAACTTAATTATTAATTTTTCTCTACAAATGTTTTATGAAATTCTAGTATGTTCACTTAATCTTTATACTTTTAATACTATTTAGAAGTGAATATTTTTATTTTACTTTGATGATGTTTCTTCTATATTTATTGGAAAAGCTGAGGAGAGTTGTTTGTGATTATGTTTTAATCAAAGCATTCTTCTGGGTGATTTTAGAAAATGGTCATAAATTTTCTCCTAGAGCTGTTTCATGCTCCTGGTCCTCTCATTTCCTGTGGGTAGTGATTCCTTTTCTTTTCTACATTACCCTGAATAGCTAGGGGTAATAATATCTGTACGGATAAAAAGAATGTCTTGACCTTAGGTCAGAAACTTGAGGTTGTCAGCAGAATAGGAAAGTGGTGATCAGGTTATCATTAGTAAGGGGTTGCTCTTTGGCTTTCTGTGCTCCTAAGGGTAAGATCTGTTACAAGATTGCTGGACTAGACTGTTGCTAAACCAAGGGTCAAATGAAGAGTTTGTCTTGCAGAGAAGACCAGTAAGGAACTTCTGGAAACCTTCCTGGCATCAAGTGGAACAGGTTGCTACATTTTAGTTATGTAACAACTTAGCCTGCTGTTCTCTATTAGGTGCAACCCAGAAAACAGGAACTACTCTAAGTATTTAAACTGAGGGTTTTTACTCCAGGGGATTGCTTATACAAATGATGGTAAAGCTGGGAAGCCACACAGGCAGCAGTGAGGTAATCTAGAGAATGGGAGCAGCAGGAAGCCTGTAAGCAGAAAGAGCCAAGGGAGGAGTCAGGGTTATAGTGCCCAGGGGCTGGATTTACCGGGCAGAGATGCTTCTGGGAACAGAGAGAGGGGAGGAGAAATACTTTAGCTTCTCCTTGCCTCCTGCCATCCAGTTTCCCACCAGGGCCTCTCATGGCTGAACCAGCCAGAAGCAACCAGCAGTCTTGGAACCCTGCCAAGCACTGCTTATAGGAATTAGTTCTCTTGTGATACAGAGAAGAGAAGGAGGCAAGGCCAGGAATGGATCTTAACAGCAAACAAGCCCTGGACTAGCATCCTGGCCTTGAAGGAATGAACCCGAGGATGGTTGCTCTGAGAGAAATCCATGGCTGAACCAGCCAGAAGCAACCAGCAGCCCTGGAACCCTGCCAAGCACTGCTTATAGGAATTAGTTCTCTTGTGATACAGAGAAGAGAAGGAGGCAAGGCCAGGAATGGATCTTAACAGCAAACAGGCCCTGGACTAGCATCCTGGCCTTGAAGGAATGAACCCGAGGATGGTTGCTCTGAGAGAAATAGTAATACCTCCTAGCTGTCTAAATAAAGCCTTCTTTGGAGGCTTTCATTGCTGCTTGGCAGATCAGTATAGAGGAGGGGTTAGTACATTTGGGAGTTGTCACCTTCTCTTTATTCCTGTTGAACCACACTGGTGGAGCATGGATGAAGGAGCAGTCACTTAAAGCTGAGAGAGCTTTACACACTCGCACACTGCCCATGGGCTCCTGTGGCATCTTCGTCTCTGTGGGTTACTGAGAGCCAGCATCTCAGGGTACACATATTGATAAACATGCCTCTGCCCTAAAGTATCAGGACAGTGCTAGCAAAAGCCTTGATCTGTTAGGCATGTCAGACCTGGGCCCCTCCTTGTTGATGACTGGCCCAGTTCCCTTTTGAACCACTCCTAATTCCTGCCATAGAAAGAGAAGCATAATTTCTTCATAGTCAGCCAGAGAAAAAGGAATTTATGAGGTTGAATAGAAATAGATGCCCACTTGACAGTGTCCCTCAGTAGGCAGTACCTCAAGAAGGCTGGAGCTGCAATATTTAGTGAGAAATTCCACTGATGTCTCCCCAGAAGTCAGGTGTCATGATTATCTTTGGCCCCAGAAGACAGGCTTTGTTTGGCTTTTTTTCCCCCCCTGTCTGTCTCTCTTTCTACTCGTCTGGACTGGATTTTTCTGTCTCTCTTGGTCCCTCTCTTTCTCTGAAGCTCTCCTTTGTTCTCTCTGTTTCCTCATAGATATTAGTGATATGCAATATTTGCAGCAGATATTAAATGCAATAGATGCAGAAAATGATTCAAAATCTAAATTGATTCACTTATGAGTACAAACCATCTAGGAGAAGAAACAAAACACGTTCTAAGACAAGAGAGTGATACTGAACATACTTGTGAATATAGGAACACCTGAGCCTCCCATGATTCAAAATTGCTGTTACCTCTTTTTTCAAGTGAGTCTCAGGTTGAAGTTTCACAGCAGAACCAGCTTGGCTGCTATTAAGAGGCCACAGGAGGGCTGTTTCCACCTCTCAAATTGATAATCTGAGCCCTAATGTGGTCATGGACCTGTCCCTGATTGCACACAAGTGAAAACCACCAATGCCTGGGAAATAAATGTCTTAGACTTGTAGTGTGGCAGAAGACAGCCACTGGCTCTGGCTTCCACTGAGCCTAAGCCACTGGCTCTGGCTTCCACTGAGCCTAAGCATACAGAATACTTGCTCAGAGTCATTTATGCTGTGTTGCTCAGCAAGGTATGTGCCTTTTATTTTATCACAGGGGTAGGAGGATGAAGACTTGGAAAGTAGGAATATGGGAAGAAGCCAGCCAATTTCTATAGCAGAATGATCTTCGCTCTTTGGGAAGCCATTAATGTTAGAGCTCTTGGGTTCCAGTGCTTACTGACACTGTTTGGGCTTCATCATCTGCTTCTTTGTCATGAGCTGGGGTTTAGATGAACTGACGATGGCAGATTTCCCTGCTATAGGAAAAGGAAGTAATGGATCTGAATATGACTGAAGCTTCTTATTCACCAACAGGTCTATGATATTGCATTTAGCCGGGCTGGTGGTGGCAGGGACATGTTTGCCTCTGTGGGCGCCGATGGCTCAGTGCGGATGTTTGACCTTCGCCACCTGGAACACAGCACCATCATTTATGAAGACCCACAGCATCACCCGCTGCTTCGCCTCTGCTGGAACAAGCAGGACCCTAACTACCTGGCCACCATGGCCATGGATGGAATGGAGGTGAGCACTCCACTCAGGCTGACACAGGCCCAGCCATCTACTTCTAGCACTGCTTAGTATATCTAGAAGAGTGGTTCTCAGCTGCTGGCTCAGTTGTGCCCCCAGAAGATCTTTGGAAATGTCTTTGGAGACATTTTTGGTTGTCACACTCTGGGGGAGGCAGGTAGTACTACTGGCATCTAGTGGGTAGAGATCAGGGATGCTGCTAAACATCCTACAATGCACAGGACAGTCCCCCACCAAATAATTATCCTACCCAAAATGTTATAGTTCCGAGATTGATTAAGCCTGATCTAGAATGAGGACTATGTGTTAAGAATTTTTAATACTTGGAGAGTTGGAGCCAAGAAAAGTAGTGTCTAGAGAGTAAACCATTTTGTATGTGTGTATGGTGCTGGGTGAAAAGACAGGCAGTTTACTTCTTCTGTAGTCTGGACAGAGTCATCATCCAGCTTTAGTAAACAGATGTAGAAAGGACAGTTCTCTCCATAGCCTGTTATTTGATAAAAATGGTAAATTGGGGTGGAGATGATGCCGGGGTTAACCTTGGTTTGGTGAAGCTAGCGCCTCAGACTTCTTACATTCCAAATTCTGCCTTGGTGGGCCTCTCATGCTGTCCAGCTGAGATGCACACAATTCTTATCACATACATCTACCAGGACTTGGTGGAGTATCCCAACTCACGTTGCCTGCTCCTGCTTCTCCCCTTCCCTATCAGTCTCATGTCCCGGTGGTGCTCAGGATGCAGACTGTAAACTACCCGTGTCCTTTGTTTTCTTTTTCCTCAATCCTAAAAAAGTTTTGTCTCTAATATTCTTTAAATCCCCCAATGAAAAAGTTATGCTTAAAAAATTTTTTTTCATGTGTAGTGTTTTTTGTTTGTTTATTTTTTCTGTCACAGGCTGAAGTTCCTGGGTCTTTTGCTTGTATTTTTGCAGGTGGTGATTCTGGATGTCCGAGTTCCCTGCACACCTGTCGCCAGGTTAAACAACCACCGAGCATGTGTCAATGGCATTGCTTGGGCCCCACATTCATCTTGCCACATCTGTACTGCAGGTGACCATGGTGGGGAGAAAGTAATGGGGTGGGGGTGGGGGGTGTTACTGAAATCTACCACTCTTGGCTCCTTAGAATTATAGTCCTTACTGTTTTCTAAGGACAGTTTTGAGAGATTTACACAAAGCAACTCAATTGGGAACCTCCCCATACTTGAGAAGTTGAAGCAGTCCACAATGCCAGGTGATCATATACCTTCAGTGGCTATTAGAGCATCTCCCATGTACTGCTTACATCGTGTATCAGTTATAGGCCTGTGCCTCCTGCTGTCCCCTCCCTCCTCCTCAAAATGTAGGTTGACACAGGGGACTCAGATCCAGGAATATGCGGAAGGGGAGGCATCCCTCTTGGATATAGCAGCAACTTTGGGACTTCCAAGATTGACATCTCTCAGGGGTCTTTCAGTCTTCACTATAACAAATCTGTAGTGAGCTCTGGATGCATTAAAGGACCCCACATAGCCTTGCCTGGTCAGTGGCATATGACTTGAAGTTCTCATTTCACCATTTACCAGGCCAAAAAAAGTACCCCTTAAAAATATGCAGGTCGTTAGTGTGCTTTTATTCTAGAAATAATGTAGTGTGTTATTAAAAGTGAAAACAATACAGAGGTATATCAAATAGGAAGGAGAAAGTCATCTTTTCTCCTTCCTATATCATTTTCACCTCTGTCCCACTCTCCATAGGTGACCTTTAACAACAGTTTGTGTGTCTCCTTTCAGACCCTTTTGGTATACATGCATACATGTATCCCCCAAATATGAATACATCCCCCATTATTTTGCACAGACAGGATTCTAGTCTAGCCCCACAGTGTTCTCCTTTTTCAGTGCATCAGATTTCCTTCTAACATACTTTTTCGTCTCCTTACTAATCAGAAGCTTTATAATGAACCCTGTTCATTATGGAGCCAAAGAAGCAATGTCATTTGGTGTTTTCTGCTTTTTTAGCATTAATTTGAAAAGCACAAGGCTTCTGCTGTTTTGGCTGTCTGCTGCTGCCTGTATGTCTTCACTGAGGAACAGTCAGGGGCCTGCTGCCACCTTCTGTACCTCAGTTTATGGTCTGCCTTTTTATTATTGTTTTCTTTTCTCCAGGGGTGTGGATAGGGAAGGGTGGGTGAAAGAAAAAAGAAAGGTGTCATCCATTGTTCATGGAGACCAGGACTGGCCCAGTGTAAGCCCCATCTTCTCCTCCTAGCCGGCTGCTCTTGCCCAGCTCGCATTATTTTGTGTGTTGCTCCTGTCCTGAGTCCTATCCAGTGCGCCACCGGGCCAGCCCCCTATGGTCTGCCTTTTTATTATTGTTTTCTTTTCTCCAGGGGTGTGGATAGGGAAGGGTGGGTGAAAGAAAAAAGAAAGGTGTCATCCATTGTTCATGGAGACCAGGACTGGCCCAGTGTAAGCCCCATCTTCTCCTCCTAGCCGGCTGCTCTTGCCCAGCTCGCATTATTTTGTGTGTTGCTCCTGTCCTGAGTCCCTTTAGCTGAAGGAGCTATGCTTGGTTGAACATTGAGGAAAAGACCTTGGAGCTGTAGAGGGGCTAAGTTTTTAAAACAGTTCCTCACATCTCTTGACATAGATTGTCCCCAGTGAGGGGATCTTACATCTTGCCCAGTTATGTGGCCTTGGTAGGAGGCTGGTGTTGCCTATGGTTTAGCCTGGCCGATTAGGCTTTAGTTTATTCAGATTTCCCATGTGTCTGAGACTGGCTTTCACATCAGGATGCATGGTGGAATCGAGGGACACTTTGGCTGTGAGGGTCATTGCCTTTTTTTTGGTTTGTTTACATTACTGTTTTGATTATAAAAGTAATACATTACTGTTTTTTTTTTTTTTTTTTTTTTTTTTTTTTTTTTTTTTTTCC